ACGCCGATTTGCTTTATTACAACAAAAATGAACTCTGCATCTACACAATGTTATTAGAAGCTGTGTTGGTGACTTATTATGAAAATTATCCTGAGAAAGTGTGCATTTCCCAGCAAGATAATGCATTCACACATGTTTCGAGACAATTGAGTGCGTGGTTTTCTTCAAAAAACATTAAGTTGCTGCAATGACCTGCATGTAGTCTTGATTGTAACCCTATCGAGTGTCTTTGGGGTATACCTGCTGGTAAAGCTTACTCAAAAGTTAAAGAATACAACAGTGTTTTCGAAATCACAAACGCGATTCGTCAATCTTGGAATGAGATCGGGTCAGAAACCTTACAAAGGCTAGCTGATTTTATGCCAAATTGAATGTTTTGCGTGATTTAAAATAAAGTAGGCCACACGAAATACTAAATATATTGAAATGCAAATAAAAATATAAAATATAAAACTTAGTTTTTACTGACTTGTTACTTTTTATTAAATGCGTGCAAACAAATGCCCACCATAAAACACACTTTTCGATGAAAAAAAAATGCAGCTATTTTTAATAAACTAGTGTGCCTTTTTAAGTTAAAAATACTTGATACTCTATTTTCAAAATTAACAAAAAAAAAATTTTTTTTTTCTATAAATTTTGGCAAAAAGCGGTATGCGTATAAACGAATGTGTAAATAAATGTATATACTTTTTTCCTGACTTTTAAAAAAAAAAATTAAATTTATGCTATTTCGATAAACATAAAGTTATTTTTATAGCAAAAACAATTTTACTTTATTTTATTTTATTTTTTTTATATAATAATTTTTTTAAGAAAAAATTTAGAAATTTTTTATTTGCTATGCATAAGAACAACAAATAACTAATTGCTTTTATATTTTTAATACTTACGTTTTCATTACTTGTAAGTAGTCTAATATGAGGCAAATATAAAATACCACAATAACGCGAAGTTTTTGAATTTCTCAAATTAATTCATATCTTAAACATAATCCTTAAGCTGCGTAACTATTACCAAAAATTTAATTAATTTTAATAAAACTTCATTTTACTAAAATTAAAGTAAAAATGGTGAGTTCAAACTACAAGTATTTTCACTTGTGATTCAATTGCGAATTTAGTAACTGTTTATTAGATTTAAAAAAATTTTTTACAATACAATGCAAAATTTTAGAATTTTCGTGTCTATAAAAAGCTGGTAAATTTAGTTCGTAACTACATTTTACTTAGTAAAAATTTTCTTGAGAATTTTTGTAGCGTTATTTACATTTTTTTATTATAATTTTTAAAGTTTTTATCCTCAGTTAATTTTTGACAAAAATGAATTATATAACTTTTTTCTGAAAATCCATTTTTATTATTTGAAAAAGTTGTGAAGAAATACATTTTTTTTAATCTTAAAGCAAATATTTGATTACGTGCCACATTTTTTTGAATCGTTTATATATATATTTTATATTATTTTAAATCTCCAGTTTAAGTAAAATTTTAAACATTTATTTCAACAAACGTCAATAAATTATTGAAGTTTTTAACTTAGCCGAAAAATGTTTGCTCACAAAAATTGATATAACCTTTCACAAAAAGGCTGAATTTCGCAAAATAAAATATAAATAAATAAGCTGGGAACCAAAATCTTTTCATAAACATCCGCGCAAAATTATTAAGGTCAACATGCACCGCGGCCCACACCATAAAGTTACAAAGCTACAACAACAATAACTAAGTAAAAAAAACACATATTGACATGCAACCACAACCGCAACATGTTGCAACAATATTGTTGTTGACGCTGACCGAGCGAACTTACCTAGTCACACATATGATTGACTGACTCACAACAGCCTGAAAGTGTGCTACAAAGCACTTGTTTCTCTCAATAAAAAAAAAGAAGACGTTTAGCAGTTTTTGCACACACAGCTTTTAATAAAAGCCACACAAAGTGTTTATTGTGCTGACCGCACACAGTTGATTGGGAAGCTAGCGCTGAAAAACTGTAAGCATGTAAGCAGGTGTGTGAATGAAAGACAAAACAGTGTAAACTGATTACTTGCTATAATAGCAGGCGTTGTAGTTGACAGGTTGCGCATCAGTTTGAATATGGTTTTTGGTGAATCCATCTAGTAGTCTTATGACATTCCGTCGACTACAGAGTATAGATTATCAAGAAAGTTTTTTTTCCAAACATGTTTTCCAGCAGCTCTCTTTGCGATCCCTAGCATATTTTCTAAGTAGCTGTGATCTGATTGCAAAAATATTAAAAAATATTAATGTTCGTGATACTAATAAGCGAATGGTACGATTTTTTTAACATTATTTTTCAAAATGCTTATATTTTAACTTTTCCCCACAATTTAATATCAATCCCGAATTTACGGGATCAACAAAGTTTAATCAAAAAGAATCATATTTTGACTAATCCCGAAACCAAGTTCTCGGGATCCCGAAATTTCGGGATTACACCATTTGCTTAGCATTGAGAGTGCATATCGTGCAGTGTATTTATAACCCAGTTACTAATGTTTAAAACTTCAATATATTGTGAAAACTCAATTTTTTAGTTTCGATTTCAACACAAAATATACACAAATAGCATTTCCATACACATTTCAAGAAGTGTTGAAAAAATTTTGGCCCTTTTTATTTCGCCTTTTTTAGTTCGGCACAATTTAAATTTTACATCATTCGCAATACGCCAAGCTATGTGTAGACTTATTTCTATATCACGAAGTCTTTAAAATAAATTCTCACATGCATAAGCGAATACTGAGTATGAATAATAAACCTGAAAACTAAACAAAAAAAAAACCAAAAAACAAAAAGAGTTAACTGTCAAAAGTTAGTCTTTCGTTAGTGTCGCACAAAATTTCCGGGTTAAGTTGATAGAACTTTTATTTATTTATTTAACAGAGCAAAAAATGTCCAACTTAATTTGAGTAGTGGTCTTGTCGATAGTCAAGCGACAATATGGTGAGGTATAACATTTCTCTTGTTTTTTTTATTAGCTAAGTTTTTTATGAACAAAGTTTCGTAGAGCTTTGCAGTATAAGGTACAGATTTATGGAATCTTTACTTCACCGGCTTGCTCTTGGAAGTCTTCAGGAGTTTTCACTCATCTTTGTTGGCTATTAGCATTTTTTATGATTATAATCTAAGCTAGATGTAACTTAGACTTCTGAATAGATTGGCCTTATTCCTTTATTGTGCTCTCTAAAACATTAGAAATTCTGACTGAGAGAGAAATTTCGAAAAGTAGTCGTTTGTGGCCTGCTCTTGACTTCCTAAGTATTTAGAGATACTAGATATCTGAGAGCTCTCCTAAGTACCTGCTCTAAACAAGTTTTCTTCCTAAAGCGCCGCGTAACTCACTATATTGTATAAAAGCTACTTCTGAAGTAGTTACGAATGAGTTATTTGTTGGTTTTGTGGAAAAATTTAATCGCCTATACTTTGATTTGGTTCGTATGATTGAAATGGCATTCACATAGAGTTAGAGACAATAAAACAAAGGTGTTAAGAAACTTATGTTACAACCCTTTTGGACTAGTTCATTCATTACTTTTTAACCACTTTTGAACTAGTTTCCCTATTAATTTTTAACCAATTTTGAACCAGTGTTTAACCAGTTACTTTTAAATTAGTTTAAAAACAAAAATCAGCACTTCCAGGCGCTAACTTATAAATTCTTCCTTACACAAAGCTACATATACGCTCAAACATAGATAAGCCCTTGGCAATTGACAGCACCCAAATTTCGCACGGCCGCCTTTTATGTGTGCAAAGCTTTGTTGCTTGCCTCAACTATTCAATATTCAAACAACTTTCTTCGCACGCAAGCCGTCACACACAACCATACATAATACTGTGTATAGAGTTGAAGACATGCACACATATGTGTATGTAAAATGGGTCGTTTTTCGTTGTGTTGGCGAATAGTTTAACTAGATTTGCATTTAGATTGCTGGCACTTGACTGAGGAAGTTTTAAAAAGCGCCAGTTGAAGTGCATACATGTTTTTGGGCAGTTGTTGTTGTCTTGCTTTGTCTTCCTTTTGCAAAAAATTAATTTAATTTTCGTATATTTTTAAGTGGCAAGCCTGAGGTGGCCAAGAATTTCGGCAACTTGCTTACATGCCTTTGCTTAAAAGGCAATTAATTGTTCATTGAAATTTTTTTTTGTGCTAAAAAAATTTAAAATTTTTAAACATTTGCAACAAACAATAACTAATTTGTTAACCTAACGATTGCTTGTGAGCTTTTAAAGTTGTAGAGATAGATATAAAGTTACGTATATATCATATAATAACAAAATTTTCAGAAAGAGATGAGAAGTTCGCTATTTTCGGGGCCTAATCGCTACCGAAAGCATACAGAGCTCACTCCTCAAATGGATCTAATGAGCCTGATTTTTTAAAAGCATGAATACTGAGTACTCATAAAAACTCCAAAGATCTTTAGAAAACACAAAATGAAATAAAAATTGAAAATTTTTTTGGAATTTAATTTTTTTTTTAATATGTTTGACTTCCATTTTTTTTTGTATATTAAATTTTATTTTAATTTATTGTTTTTGTTTAATTTTTAAAACTAAAATTTTGAATAACATAAACAGTTACATTCATTTTAGTTTCATATCTACAACATTTCGTATTTACAAGTAAGTATAGCATGAAGACAAAAAAAAATTAAAAAAAAAAATCATAAGATTAAAAATTTTGAAATATTTTTGAACATGTTTTTATTATTATTTTTTATATATATTTGAATTTTTTTTATTTTTTTTTTTTATAACTAGCTGTTGGTTAATTTTTGTTTAATTTTTAAATACTTTTTTTTTAATTTATAAATTAATGTTTTTCCTTAATTCTTAAGACTAATAATATTCATATTAATATTTTGTAATTTTCGAATAGTTAGTTTTCATCATAGACATATATTTTCATTATAAATCTTACCTACATGATTGATCTTATTTTTTGTATTTTTCTTTACATTACAGATGTATGCTATAACCAGGCAAGCTAATTTGTTGCAGCGTCTAGGCGACCTTGAATGTTTAATACTGCTAGTGTCCTGCATTTGTCATGATCTCGATCATCCCGGCTATAATAATATCTATCAGATAAATGCGCGCACTGAATTGGCGCTCAGGTGAGTAATTATAAATAGCACACTGTTTTCTTTTTTTTTTTTTGTTATATAAAAGTTAAGTGCGAAAAATAAAAATAATTTGTAAATTAAAAGAAAACAAAACTAATATTAAAACAAAAAAATAAATATTTTTTTAAAAAAGAAAATAAAAATTTCAAATTAAAATTAAAAAGTAAACTAAATTCTAATAAATCTAAAAAATTATAGAACAAAACTAATATTATTTGAAATCAATGACAAAAACTAATTTTAAAATTATATGAAAAAATAAAAATTAAAATAAAAAATTATAAATAATTTAAAATTAAATTAAAAATAATAATATTAAAAAAAAAATTATAGAACAAAACTAATATTATGTGAAATTAATGATAAAAACTAATTTTAAAATTTTATGAAAAAATTATAATAAAATAATTTAAAATTAAATAAAAATAATAATATTACATAAAATATTTAAAAAAAAGTTATAAAGAAAACTTAGATAAACTTAAATTTACTAAAATTATTATATTTAAGAAATTAAAAAAAAAAAAAATATATTAAAAGAAAATTTTTTAAATAAAAATTTAAAAAAATTCATACTAAAAAAATAATGAAAAAAACTAATCTTAAAATTGTATGTACATAAGTTTGTATGTAGCTTATATACACAATCTGGCAATCAGCCAGCAGTGTATTCCTTCAAACTTATAGCATACCTTGTGGCGCATTCAACTTTAATTCATTCCTTGTCGCGTTCGCAGTGATTGGCAGCTGCATTAAAACCAATAAATATGTATGCGTGTGTGTGTATATTTGAATTTTTTGCTTTTTTTTTTTTTTTGCTACAAGAGTTTTGCATTTGATTTGCAACTAGCGCTGAATGTGGCTGGCATTGCGTCACGCTGTTGCTCTACCGCCTCCACTCAGCACTTTATGGCTTAATCCATTTATTTTCTACCACACTGTTTATTTTTGCTTGCAGATATAATGACATTTCACCGCTGGAGAATCATCATTGTTCAATAGCATTCCGCCTGCTGGAGCATCCTGAGTGTAATATTTTCAAAAATTTCAGTAGCGACACATTCAAGTGAGTACGAAATTGCAAAATATTAATTTTTGAGTGAAAAAAAAGTGAACGAAAATATTAAACTCGATTTCACACAACTCGTACAACTCAAAGGCAAACTTAAGAGCGAATATTTTAGTTTCAAAGCCAAAATTGAATATGACAAGTCCACGTTATGTTGCAGTTTATGTGCATATGTGTGTGTATGCAAAAGTTTATCATTTATTTTCTCGGTCATGAATTTTGCAAAAGTTGAAATTTATTTTTGGGTTATCATTTTCAGTGCACTCTTGTTGCGTGTAGTCAGTGCGAAGCGTTGCAGTTGAGGTGTAAAGTTTCATTTACGCAAATTTGGTTATATTGCCCAAACTGTGAAGAGCGTAGTAACGTATTCATATACTCGTATGCTGTATTCACAGGGTTTCACATTAAGAGTATTCCAGTTTTTAGTTCACATATAGCCAGGCTATATTTGCATTGATAACATCCCTGTTCTTAATCGCCTATTTTTAACAAAAGCAAGCCCGATAGCCCACACCTCGTTTCATGGCTTCTTCTTTCACAGAATTTATTTTGAATTCTTCTTTTGAGACTCGAGCTTACTATATCCAAACCAAGTTATAAATTAGCATAATTTTTAAAGTTAGGCCCCAAACAGTTTCATTTCTTAAGTAAGCAGACATCGGTACGTTCGGCAAGAACTAATCCAAAATGTTTGTATCTCCCAAGACAGAAAACTCAACCCTCCAACAATCACAACTTTGCATCAAAGCGTGTAGTGTTCGTCAGATTCCCACACCAAAAATTACATAGAAATTCTTATATGAAGCCATGTCTGTTATTTATTCGTAGTTTTCTTTTTAATATTTTTGAAGTGATGCTTTCTATGTTTTAATCAAAATTTAGCATCACATTTAACTGCACGAAACTTCTCTGTTTCCACAAAAGTGGTGACGACGAACCAGAATGACTCCAAAATTTAATCCATCTAAGAATTGTTTACTTGCTAACAGGCCTAAAAATTATTTCTTCGTTAATCGTCGACAGCATAAATGTTGTTTGCCAAATACGTAACATTACTAGACCTTCAAAATTTGAATATATAGGAATATAAATGCAGCCTAACAAATCTCTTAAATAGATGGCAAAGGAGTGAGACTCCATATATTGATATTTGTTTGATATAAAAAGTCCATTACCTCCAAGCTTCAGTTTTTTTGAATAAAAAAAAAACCAAGAGCTTGTTAGGTGGTTAGCAAAATGACTGCAGCGGATCCGAATAATTGGAAAAATTAATGTACTCTATGAAACCAGAGCTCGTAAGAAAATATAATACGACTACAAGTATATATAGTTTTGTTCGATCTATATCTCTCTCTTCTATAACTCGTATAATGTAATGCTTGCCAATTGGAAAAGGAAAAAGAACTTGTCTTTTATAAGTAATCAGTAGGTCATCTCCTTGTTGAATGAGCTCTATGGAAGCAGAGCTTAAAAAAAATATATATATATATGTATATACAATAATATAGCAAAAAACAGGTGATATGATCTGATAGCTTATAATTTCATCTAAGATGTGCTTTTTCTAGTCAATGAATAGTCGTGAAATTGACCGTTTTATATGCTTCCTCTACGCTCTTGCACTTCTAACTGGCTGTCGTAGTTACCTCTAATTGAGCTTAAAAAAATAACTCGTATTTTATAGGTAGTCGGTGAGTGCTCTTCTGTTGGTAGCCTTATTTTCTCGGATGGTAGTCGAGATTTAAGGATGGGTAAGTTATATATGCAACTAGCCATGAGTGCTCGTAATGATAGTGTGGTGTTTTAGCAATTAAAACTGGAAACGTTTGCTCTCTCCTCATTCCTTGTAATGAGAACAACCATTACTAGTGGTGCGATTTCGGCACACTATAAAATATAGCAGCTATACAAACTAAATGTTCAAAATTAATTTCTTGTACGTAAAACTTCTTTAATTGACGGTATAGCTTCACGAAATATATCTTGGTTTATTGCCCAAAACAGCGCTAAAATATCTGAAGAAAATGTTTGGATTGGGCCACTATAGCATATAGCTGCCATGCAAACTGAACGATGAAAATCAAGCTTTTGTTTGAAAAGCTTACTATTTGTGTAAGATAGGAGTGTAAAGGTGGCGTGTTATAGTTGTTAGTGTGAGAAGAAATAGAAAGCGAATTCAATTTTAATTGAGCTTCTTAAAGTATCTGTTATCTTTGGGGATCGTGTTTCTACAAAATTAAATCGATCAAATTAAAATAGGTACTTGATAGACCTTACCAAAAACACTTTGAACATAATACCTTTGTGGTTCAGGAACCTCTTGTACTTAAGTGTCGTGCTGGTAATTCAATGTGATTACTAGTAGAGCAACCAGAGATTACTCTGAGCTTTAAAACCAGAAGAAAAAAAATATGGCATATATATACATATGTATATGTAAATATCTATTTTAGCATATATACAACTTATTAGTGGTAAGGGATTTTGTTTAGCCCTAAAAGCTCCCAAATCGGGTAGCCATACCCAAAAATTTAGCCGAAATGCAAACTCATAACCTCAATTTTTTACTAACTTGCCTCTAATGTTGCATTAAAATAACAGCTATCTGAGAGGATATTGTCTCTGTCACAACAAAAAATTACAACTCCAACGTTTATATGTATGTGTGTGTGTATATAACTGTGTGATTGTTGCGTTGGTGATTTACCAAAAATATATCCACAAATAAAGCCAATATTTATGCCTTGCCATGTGGCTGCCACACGCTGTCATCGCGCTGCGCTTGGACACCAGCAATGCGCTCGTCATAAATTAGCTATCTAATCAAATTTCGTACAAATTATGGCAAAATTTTATAACTCTATTTACTTGGTGCAAACCAACGGCGCCTAAATGTACACTATGGCTGTTATATTGAAGTTGACAGTGCTGAAAAGCAAATACATACATATGTACATATATTGTAAACATATACACAAAAACATATTTACACGTAGTTAATTTGCTTGCTGCAGGAAAGAAAATAATCAGATGGTTATGCATATATGTATATGTAGTAATGTACATTAGGGTGGAGCGAAAAAAAAATTATTTTTGGCCTGGGGATAAAATCTGTAGATATAAAAAAAGAAAATTTTTGTACAAAAAAAATTTTTTTTAACATCTAGAGGCGGCGCACTCAGTTTGAAAGTAAATTTCTAGTTAACATTTTTTTTGGAGAAGAAAATATTATTCTTACATTTATATAAAAATTACCGAATGTGACGGTTTTTGACTCAAAATTTATAACGCTTAAGGAAGCATGTTGTTGTTTAGGACATTTTTTTAAAACTCCAATAATGAACAGAAAAAATTTGTTTAAGTTGATAACTTTTAATTGGCTAGAAAGAGGACTCAGCTTCTAGAACACTTATCAAACATTTTTTACGAAATAAAAATTTTAACTCGAAAATTTACTTTAAAGCTGAGTTCGCTAGGTGTTAAAAATTTTTTTTTTTTGGCAAAATTTTTTTTTTTTAATCTACATATATTACTCCCAGGCTAAGCCAAAAAAAATTTTTGTTTCGCTCCACCCTAGTGCATATACATACATATATATGTAATAATTTTGTATATTTCTATATACATAAATACATATTTTGAAAATAATAGCACACATATGGCTTTATATGTATATATGCTCCGTACAAATGTACTTTGACGCCGCGTCCATCCGTCCGTAGCATATCTTCAGGCGCATTTAATGCTCAACTGATAAAAATGCAATTGCCATAGAGACTTGTATGCCATATTGGCATAAAGCAAAGTTTTATGTTGCCACTGTGACAGCTACTAATTTGCAGCTGTCAGATGCATACATATTTGTAGACATTTACAAATACATACCTATAAAGCAAATGCAAGTATATGTGTGTAAATGCATTTTATTTAGGTCTGCAGCAGTTATCTGTGCGCTCACCACAAATCGTGCAGCAGTGGTAGCGTATAATGAAATTTTTGGGCACACACATGTACATATATTATTGTATGTCATATATACAGCTATATGTATACGATACGTATGTGGGCGAGTTTGAGGGGTGGCCTAAACCGCAGTTTGGGCTTACATTTTTAACAAATCTCATATGCAGTTGTGTGTGTATGCATTATATTACAAATATCTGAATTTATGTAAATATGTGAATTATGTATTTAATTCTCACTGTTACAATATCTGCTATGGCGCCTAAAAATATGCACCTCGTATCGACATGCATACTTTTAATGGAAAATTTGATCAGTACTACAATAAAGAGTTACAGTGGTGTGTTCTTTCTCTAGTGATTTTGAAGGCGAAAATTTTACCGCTCAGGTATAGTAATGTATAGCGCTACTCGCTTCAAGTTTAGTATAAGAATTAGACTTTTTTTATTTTATAAATTTTTTTAAATTTTTTATTCATAAATTAAGTTATCCTATTTACTTTTAATTGTATTTTTAATAATCGTTTTTAGCGTAACTTGCTAATACTTGCTAAAGGAATGATTTTTTGTCAGTTTTTTTCTTCTAAGTTCTTTTAACTATGTCTTTATTTTTTTAGCTTTTTTATTGTAATTTTTTGAAAATAAATTTAATTATACGTCATTAATTTTTATTTTTTTAGAAATTAATAAACTAATTAAACCATTTATTAATAATACTATTTTTTTTTTGGCATTATGTTCTTATTCTTATTTTTTTAATGTTTTTTATTTTGTTTTTATTTTGTTAAATTTTTTATTATAGTTATACATTTTGATTTTTCGATTTTTATGTTTTTATTTTCCTTATATTTTTTTTGTAATTTTTTATTTCTATTTAGAATTTTTAATTTTTTACCTTTTCGTATTTTAATTTATAATTAATATTTCGAATTTTCTGTTGCAAATAATTTCGATATGGTAAATATATTGATGAATTAAAAGTTTTCGTAGAAACAAATAGTATTACAAGTATTTATTTTCTTTCTATGTTTTTAATTTTTTTGTTAATGTTTTACTATTTAGTTTTTTGTTAGTTAATATGTTTTATCGTTTATTCATTATACACTGAACAGGGCATATTAAGTTTGCCACGAAGTTGTAACAGAAGGAAACGGCAAAGAAGAATCGTATAGCAGCTAGTATGACGCGATCAAGAAACATTGGTTTTGCTCGAAGGTCTCGAAATGCATAAGAATGATTGGAATAAAGTTTGTGCACATTTAGAAACGCGTATACAAGATGCGTGCTTACTACATACAAGTGTATATATATAAATGATCGATGAGCTGAGTTGATTTAGCCATGTCCGTCTGTCTTTCGGTCCGACAGACGTCTGTATATACGCGAACTAGTCTCTCAGTTTTCAAGCTATTGTTTGTTGAATTTTGTACGCATATTTTTCTCACTAAGAAGCTGCTTATTTGTCAGAACGGCCGATATCTGGCCATTATAGCATACAGCTGCCATACAAACTGAACAATTGTAATCAAGTGCGTGTATGGAGAACTCTTTCATTTGACGAGATATCTTCAAGAAAATTCGCATTGTCTAAGGCAATAATGCAAACTCGAGTTATTGTAAGGAACATTTGTATTTGTGCAGGGTATTATAGTTTCGGGGTAACCGAAGAGAACGTCTTTTCTTGTTTTTTAATATTTTTTGTTTATTAATTTTTTTTTAATTTTTTGTTTTGTTATTTTTATACCTTTTTTAATAGATTATTTTTTTAATATTGTTTATTCAATTTTGTGTTATTTAAGTTCTTTGTTTTTGTTTTTTAGTTGCTTTGTTTCTATTTAATTTCTTATTTTACTCAGTACTTCGAATTAATTTATTTACTGTTAAATTTGCAAGTCCGTGTCTTATAATATTTTTCATTAATTATTTTAGTTTTTTATTAATATGGTTTTTATATCAGTCGCGTTTTTCTTTTAGTTTTTCTTTTGCTCACTAAATATTTATTGCAAATGCTGTTTTTTTTTTTAATTTTCTTACATTTTTTACGATTAAAACCTATATAAATGAATGGAGGTGCAATAATTAATTACTGTTTAAAAATTTTAATTGTTATTGAAGACATATTTGGCAATATAAAATTATGTGTGCTGATTTTTTAAATTTTTTGACACAACAATAGTTTAATAAGTTATTAAAAAATATTTTATTTATTTTTAATTTAATTTATAATTTAATTTTTTATTTTTTTTATACATTTTTAATTTAATTTTTTAATCCAAAATTAACTAATGATAATTAACAAAATTTGTTTAAATTTTAATTCAAAGTGGTAGCTGAAATTAATCAATTATTGAAAATGAAGGAGATCACACTTTGTTTTGAATATACATAAGATATAATACCTGTATATATTGCCACTAATTATAAAACAAACATTTTTAATAACCACACAACCCAACAAAGCATTTGCCAATCTGAAAGTTGCCACACATACACATTTCATACATTTTTTAGGCACTTTCAAAGCAATTAATTAAATGTAACTATTTACTGCAAATGCTAGACATTTAAGCAGCGAGAATTTAGCGCATTAAAAGCGCATGCAAAAATAATGCCAGAACAAATAACAGTAATTTAATTAACTAAATATGCTAGGCTATAAAATTAAATGGCAACCCAATCACAAATATACACACACATATACACAAACACTTAATTATAGTCATATGGCTGTCATGCTCTTATGGAATTTCAATAATCCAACAATTTCGTAGCAATTAGCAATTGAAATCAAATTTGTCAAAATGCAGCCAAAAATTTACAATAATAATAATAATGAATATATATGAGCAACCTAAAAATGTCTGGCAGACCGAAATTCATTTATATTAATAATGCAAGCGTTAAAAGTGCGACTTAATTAATATTTATATGCTCATATAACAGTAATACCTAACTGTATATGGCCATCAGTGTTTCAAAGTGTGTGCGCAAATAAATACCTAGTTTGCATACGTATATATGTAACATATAATATGTAAACCATTTTGATGCTGTGGTATTTGCTTTTAATGATGCAACCTAAATGTATGCTATATTAATTTACAATGCCGTCTCGGCTGAATAGTCCATACGTGTGTGTTTTATTTGAATTTATTTGATTTTTCCTTTAACTAATGGGCGCTAGTAGTATATATGTATATTTAGTTTGGAAATGAAAAACCGACAGTAAAAAAAATAAAATAAAATAAAAAATCAAATAAATAAAAATAAATATGAAAAAATATCGTTTTTCACAATTGAGCAAATAATAGCAGTACAAATATATTACAAATATTCTCACCGTTTGCCTAGTAACTAACTGCACAAAATTAAATGAGAGAAAGTTTAATCTGTACTACTATTTTGGCAGTTTTTTATAGATAAAATTAAATTTTTTGCTTAAAATAATTTTTTTTTTACATATAATTTGATGTTTTTAGTAAAAACATAAATATTATTCATACGTTTCGCTTATTTTTTATTTTTTCTTATATTTTATTTCCATTTCATTCCTTTTATGATTTTTTTTAAACTCAATTTTTTTCAATTCTGTTATTTATCAATTTTTCATTCAATTTATCAAATACTTAATTTTATTTTTTTATGACTTTCTTAAAATTTTTGTTTTATTACGTTCATTAGTTCGTTATTAGTTTTTATTTTTATAATAATGTTGATTATTTTTTGGTGTTTTTTATTATGTTATTATTGTCTTTTTTATCTTTTAACTCTTTATTATTATTTTTTTTTTGTTATTTATTTTTTTTTAAATTTTTTTATTTTTACGTTTTCTTAATATCTTTTTTAATAATTTTTAATGTTTAAATTTCGAAATTATGCCAAAGATTTGGTTTTTCTCTCAACTTTTTTTATACAATAGTTACTTCAATTTTGAAATGTTTTAAAATTTTCATAATAATTTTTTCTATTTCTAAACTTATATTGAGAAAAAAATTGATAAAATGTATTATTTTAAACAACTGACTTAAAATATTGCTACGAAATTTAGCAGAAGAAATAGCAATTTTTTTAACTAATATTTCGCCATTTTTTTACAAAATTATGTTTTTTCTCAATTTTATTTCATTCAAAATTTTTATTTAAATTTTTTTATTATTTATTACTAACAATTTATTGAAAACACAATCGGTCGAAAATTTATTATTTTAAAAAGCTGCTCTAAAAATTTTAACAAAGTTATTAATTATTTCCTGAGCATTGTCTAGATTAATATTTAAAGAACTATTTAAAATGAATTGATAAGACTTCTTAAATTCTCAAATTCTTACCATACTTCTTCACTTCAACTACAAACAGACACTTTAAACAATTTTTTTGCACATATTTTTTTTTAATTTTATTTCATAAAATTTTTATATTTTTACTGTGAAAATTATTAGTTTTGCTATTTGCTTTATTTTTATTACACCTTCCCCTGAAAAGAAAAGTAATAATGTGCTTAAAAACATTTATTATTCTTTTTTACTTCTTAGTAAGATTTTATTTAAAAAAAAATATTTAAAACTTTGAAGTTTCTCAACAAAATTTGAAAATTTGCTAACATGTTAGAATTATCTCACTACAACAGCAAATATTTTTTGAAATTCCAATCATCTTTATTACGTCTGAAATGGACATGTTTTTTCTCAATAACATTATAGTTCTGTAATCTGCGTACATAAAAACTTTTTCTAAAGTGTATAGACAGTGATCCAAATCAATTTTAAATTAAATCCAAGAGCGCGGCATTTCCGATGAGAAAGCATTAAATATAAGTATTCATATAAAAGCATATAGCTGACTATATGTCGGCTTGATTATGTTTACAATATAAAATTGTGCAGCTTATCAGCTAAAAGTGATCTGTGTATTCTCACGAGCCACGGTCAAGCGATAAGCTTCTTGCTTTGATGTGTCAGCATCATAAAAAACAAAACAAAACAATTCGCGATAGTACGCCGCGCTCAAAAAAATCAATGAGAGCGGTAGAAATCGCTTATCAGTGGCTCAACAATGTGTTAGAGCGCTTTAATTCGTTTTTTTTTTCCAAAAAGCGCAAAGTGAATTCAGTGTGAAAGTGTACGCAAAACTAAGTAGTTCCATTAAAATGCGAAATATTTGTTGGCGCGTGTTGTTTACCCATATGCTGTTAACCTTGCTCTTGCTGGGGTATATAAATTGTGACGTCAATAGCGCGACCGCTACGACAACGGAGGAACGCACCTCAACGTACGCGAATGTGGATCATAGCGATGCAACAACAGCACCCACAAGCGCGCACTGCAGCGGTAAGAGTACGCCGTCTGCCTGTGCTGCAGATTATTGGCCCCGTCAACTGGACACCATGTACAGTTATGTCGACGAAGTGATGTGGCCTTGCGACGATTTCTATGAGTATGCTTGCGGTAATTGGCGTGCGCCATATCAATTGCGCGCGCGCGGTGCACACGATACACTGAGCGCCGTCAAAGCAGATAACAAACAACAATTAATGGCTTATCTATTAGAAAAGCAAGAGACGCTTGATAAAGGCACGCGCACAACGTTGCAGCGCAGTGAAATGGTGGCTGTTCGTTTCTTTAATGCATGTGTCGAGCGCGTAACAGGCGAGGATAGCTTCACCGGACGCTCGCATTTGAATGTAGAAACAGCCACGTTACGCACATACACCGAGGAGCTGTGTCGCATAAGTGACTGGCCAGTGCTAAACCACAATTGGGAGGCGATTGACGCGAACGACACTCTAAACTGGGGTATATATTTGAGCGCGGAGTTGCGCCGCTATGGCGTGCAAACCCTGTGGCGTTTATTAGTCACCAGCAATTGGCAACAAGCAGAGCAGCAGATCTTCTACATTTCGGCGCCGGCGTTCGATTTGCTCAAACCGACGCGCAACGCGGCACAATATGACAGCGACTCGGAGTATATATACAAACGGTATGTGAAATATTTGATGCTGGATTTGGGCATGCGCGTACGACGCGCACTAACAATTGCCAGCGAGGTTGTAGAGTTTGAGAAACAGCTATTTGAGCTGGTGACCAGCGAGAGCTCAGTGTTGCTGCGCGAGCCACAAAATTTGGCGTCGTTGGCGGCAGAACTGCCTGAATTGAATTTGCGCGAATATTTTGCGGTGGTTATGCGTGATATAACCGTTGAATTGCCCTACGATTACGCGGAACGTCTGCTGATTGTGGCAGATATACCGTATCTACGCAAGCTGCGCGATTTTTTGAAACGCACTAAACCGGAACTACTTGCTAAATATCTGCTGGTTCAATTTTTAGCACACTTCGAGGTGCGCCTACACGATGAGGAGAGTTACCAAGAGCAGCGCGATTACTGCTTACAACAACTGCACGCATTTCTGCCAGCGGAACTAACGGAAATTTTCATGCGTTTGCAGTACGGTGACACAAGTGATGCAGCTAGTTATATGGCGCATACGCAGAGCGCTTTGAACGACATTTTCACAGAGTTGAAAATGCAATTTGAACGCTCGCTTAACGCCACGAATGTATTTGAACGCGACGCGCTCACCAAATCACTAGGTATGGAGAAGCTGCACGCGATGCGTCTGCTGCTGCCACAAGCGGCAAACGCCAGCAAAGCTCATTTGCCTACCACTATCGAGCTGAGCGACAACCACGATGCCAATTTGCTGAAATTGTGGCGTTGGCGCACGCATAATCAACTGCACGAAGTACTAGAATCGCTGTTGACAGGACGCAGCGCGCCGCCTACCTACAACAACTACGGACCACTGGATGTGAATGCCTACTATCGGTTGAAGAAGAACGCTATCGAACTGCCAATAGGTATATTGCGCGCGCCCTTCTACCACAGTTGCCTGGATCCAGCGAAAATATACGGCAGCTTCGTCTACATCATTGCACACGAGTTGATGCATGGATTCGATTATGATGGCCTTAATTATGATCAGGCAGGGAATATGGCGGGTAACTGGGGCGCTAAAGCCATAATACGATTTGGCACTAAATCACGTTGCTATCTGAGCGAGCGTTACGACGAAGGAGAGGTGACGTTGAATGAGAATATCGCCGATACGGAGGGACTGCGCCTCGCTCTGGAGACCTACAGACGTACTGCAGGCAAAAATAGCACCTTAACGACGGAACAGCTTAAGCTCTTTTTCCTGAGCTTCGCGCAAACGTGGTGCGGCACGACTGCATCGCGCACCAATAATTTGCATGATATGCATAGCGTGCGTGTCAATAATGTGGTGAGCAATTTCGAGGACTTCACGTCAGCATACGGTTGTGGTAAGCAGAGCCCCATGAATCCGCCCTACAAATGCGGCATATGGACCGAGTAGTAGCGGGATGTGAGACAAGCAACCTATATATTAAGTGTATAGTTACTGTATTGAATTGTATATACCGTTATTTGTAAATTTCAATAAAGCTGCGCATGGAACATTTGCAACAGAACGATTTGTTTCGATAGCTTGGTAGTGGGGCTGCAAGCCTTGCGATGCACCCGTTGCGACTGTGATTCTTCTGGAAAGTGTAGCCTCAAAATATTGCGCTCGAACTGGTTACGAAAACAGATGAGCGCTTAGGCATAGTAACGAATGACCGTATATTTTACAGTCGGTGATTATTGGTAGTCATTTACAACTGATTTTTATAGTTTTTTGTTTGGCGACCAATATTTTGGTAATTTTCTTTGAAATTTTTGTGAAGCAAACCCTTATTTAATACGCTTTTTAGGATCTAATACTCATATCCTGTTTTGGAAACGATAATTTTGTTGAGAAACTTAATCAATGGTGCTGGTTTTTAGTACATAGTGCTGATAGATTTTTGTAGTCTAAAATTAATCTTTAGCGCCAAAGGATCTGCTGCTCTGCGCGTCTACAAATATTTCGCATTTTAATCGAACTGCTTAGTTTTGCGTACACTTTCACACTGAATTCACAGTGCGTTTTTTAAAAATAAAAACGAATTAAAAGCGCTCTAACGCGTCACTGAGCCACTGATAAGCGATTTCTACCGCTCTTGTTGATTCTTTTGAGCGCGGCGTACTTTCGCGAATTGTTTTGTTTTTTATGTTGCTGACACTTCAAAGAAAGAAGCTTATCGCTTGACAGTGGCTCGTGAGAATGCACAGATCACTTTCAGCTTATAAGCTTCACAATTTTATATTGTAAACATAATCAAGCCAACATATAGTTAGCTATATGCTTTTATGTGAATACTTATGTTTAATGCTTTCTCATCGGAAATGCCGCGCTCTTGAATTTAATTTAAAATTTATATGGATCGGTGCCTATAGACTCTATAAATAGTTTTTATGTACGAGTATTACAGTTGTGTATTGTTATTAAGTTATTCAGAACAAGAAAGAAAGTTAGCTTTAATGGACAGTTTATATAGTAGCTAAATACTTTAGTCATCCGATCTGAAAAATTTCTTCGGTTATTGCTTTATTGACTTAATGCCTTAGACAATAATCTATGCCTAATTTCCTTAAGATACCTCTTCAAATGAAAAACTTTTGCTTGCAAGCACTTGATTCCGATCGTTCAGTTTGTATGATGGCTATATGCTGTAGTGTTTCGCCTTCGATATTGGCGGTTCCGACAAATGAGCAGCGTCAATTGGACGTGTGCAAAATTTCTGGTCGATATCGCAAACACCGTGATTAGTTCGCAAATATACAGACGGACAGCGTAAGATCAACGGCTAGTCACGCTGATCATTTATAAACATATACATATATTTTAGAGAGTCTTCGACATTTTCTTTTTGGTGTTACAAACTTCATGGCAAATTGAATATATGTATCCTGTTCAGGGTATAATAATTGGCTGAAAAAGTATATTGAAATTTTTTATTACAGTAAATGCTTATTTGATATTTTTCACAAAATTTTTAAATAGTTCTTTAATTTGGTAGCAAAAATACTTTTGCTGTATAACAAATATTCGAAAATATAAGTTTTTCGATTTTTTTTGAAAAAAATTGTAATATGAGATATTTTTCTTAAATTTATATCAGTGATAGTTTTAGTCGATACAGTCATTTCAGTTTCAGCGAAAGAAAATACATTTTGTACAATAGAAAATATATATCAAAAATAAAAACTGCTGAAAAAGTTATTTATTTTCAACAAAAGACCTATTTAAAATAGAAATATTCTATAGAAAATAGAAAATATAATATAATATTTAATTGAGAGTATTTTATATGCATATATATCTTTCAATAAAGGAGCTATTTCGAAGAAAAATATTCAATAAAAAAATAAATAATGAAATAAAATATTTAATTAATTTATTTATATAAAAAAAAAATTTGGTATAAAAATATTCTATAAAAAAATCAAAAATAAAATATTATATCAAATTATGGATATTTTATGATTTTACTACACTCATTTTTGTCTAAACTTAATAATTTAAAATTGTGACGGAAAACAAGTTCAGACGTTGAAACATGCTTATTTTCTAAATCAACAAAAAAGTTTAAAAAATATCTTCATTAAAAATTTGTGTCTCTAAATAATAAAGCAATTTTTTGTAAATTAAAATTTTTTTCGAAATTTCTCAAAATTGTGTATTCTTTTTTGCTTTCAAAAGTATAGTTAAATGCATTATTGTACAATAAGTTTGAGAGATATTTTTTACCCATAAAATTAACATGCATAACGAACTTAATAATATAATTACTGCAAATGAAAATTTATCTGGTATGTTTAACCATTAATACTCTACTAATTTATAGCGAAAGTTCGCGTTGCATGAAAGTTTTCGCATTCGCTTTCACACATATATTAGGCAATTGTTGCTTACCATTTTTATTATCACTCCAGTGAAAACGTATACATATAACATACATATAAGTAAGTAAGTATGTGTGTATTTATTTATTCGACATGCCCGTCAGGTGCAGCATGTCGAAAAACAATAAATGTCAATTATCAAGGCGAAAAGCATTTCGGCCACGCCATTTTCGGTCAGCAGGCGCAGACAATACGGCGCAGGATATTAAAAAGACACACACACATAGAGAGAAAACAATTTTATATAAATGTATAACTACGCATGCACACCCTCTCAAATACATTTAACCCAAAGCAGTAATGGAAAAATGTATTACCGTTAGCCGAACAGGCTGTGCGCGACAGTTGTAACGGTACATACAAGTACATGCAACAGTTTACAATGCGACCAACTGTGCTCAGTCTGACGTTGGTTTAATTGGACACACACACACACAAGCGCGCAGCCATAACGACAAATTGTTGCACACACACTGTACCCCCTTATGCCTGCGATGGGTTGTTTGCTCGCCGCTTACAGCAATTTGGCCTAGCCAGCTGTATAAATCGTAAAAAATATACATTTTTTGTATAAATCCGAATCGCTGACCATTTATTGCCGTGACGCTTTTATGTCTACCCACTCATAATGCCAGCAACACACACGCACACACTTAGAGACATAGATATGTGCTGCTAAAAATAATTGCTTTTCCACGTGGGACATGACCCAGGATGGCTGTAACTACCCACATATATATAGATTTATGTACATTATGGTATCCGTTATTCACTCGTTAGTGTTTTTCGCAAACGCCCCCTACAGTTTTAGTTGTTGCCCTAAAAAGAATGATCCAACGTAAAAAAGCTCTTTAGTTTCTATTTAAACCGTGTCTAAAGCACTTTACATTTACCATAGATTTGATATTGGTTTTTTGTTCTTTTACAATAATATCTCCAATGTAAATAACTCTGCAACTTTGAAAAAGTAATATTTGCATACAATGTTTTTCGCTCGATAGAAAAGACCTTTATGATTTTTTTATACAAACATTGCTTTAAAATTTATAAGCAGTCAAAATTATGCAGCAAATATACTGCTTTCATATACAATAGTACACCATGTCGTATGAGCAACACAGAATGTGTAAATCACTTGATTGAATGCTCAGGTCATTTGATATACAACTTTATTTGCCAAAAACTTTTAAAATAATGTTTTTATGAAAGAAATCATTAAGATCCTTTCGTTAGGGTGAACAGTTTTATACAAGAATATACTTGTTTTAAGGTTTTACGTTTACTCCATTAAGCGAAAAATCAAAAAAAAAAAAAAAAACTCATGTTATAATTTAGGCATGGTTTTAATTGCGATATGTTGTTGTGCTAGATCTTTTAAGCAATAACTAAACCTTCGAGCGGCGTTTGCTAAAACATCATCAACTTGTGAAATAACGGATACCCTAATGAACATATACTCGCATATGCATGTATGTGTTTTTTGCCCCACCATTTGTATGCATTTATTTTTAAACTCCACTTTGGGGTCTAGGCTTTTTATAGCCGCATTTATACACTGCATTTCATTGCAATTGTGTGGGTATATATGTACATATATACATAAGCAAGATTTATTTATAAAATTGTGTATATAAAAACAAAATTCACACGAAATGCGAAAGCAAGAAACTAATAGCTTTTTTGCTGACATGAAACAAAAACTTTGTAAAAGTTATTAAAGTAATTATAGCTTCTGACTGCACTGTGTGTGTGTTTAATTTGCGAAAAAGCTAAAGCAGCTTTTGTCAGTTATAATTATGTGAACTTTGGCTAGCTACAAGAAAATTGTCAATAAAATAGTTACAAAGCATTCTTTGGTAATAAAGTAGGCAGATAATGTGAAAAGAACTAGTAGGAAAAAGTAGATTTTTTTTTCCAATAAAAAAGTATTCAAAAATCTTAATTTGAACTTTCCAGAGAATAAATAAAATAAATTGTTATAAAAAATATTGCACAACAAAAAAAAAATAATCTAAAAAAATGCTCAAAATTAAGAACTAAACTTTTTAAAATAGTTAGTATCACAGAGTATCAAAAATTTTATCTACCAAATCTTTTAAAGGGAATGTACTAATAATTTTAAAACGTTAATAAAAATATAAGTATCAAAAAAGGTATGCAAAATTATTGTACTAAATATTATAAAGAAGATTGTACTAAAAAGTAATAAAAGAACTTTTAAAATATTTTTAAAAGAAGATTGCCAAAAACCTACCTAAAAAATGTAGTACCATATAGAGTAAATAAAAAAAGTATTGTACAAATTTCGTAAGTAGTGAAATATACTAAAAAAAAACTTCAAGTGGCTTAAAAATTTTCTAAAAATTCTAAAAAAATTTAAGTATAAAAAAATGTATCAGAAATTATTGTACCAAATATTTTAGAGAAGTTTGTTCTAAAAAGTACTAAATATTTTTTTTTTTTAATTTTAATATAAATCATTTTAAAGCCTTCTAAAAGTCATAATAAAGTTAGCACCACATAGAATCAATAAAAAATTATGTTACTACATTCGTATGTGGTAAAAAGTATTAAAAACGCTAAATCTTCAAAGTGCTCAAAAACACCCCAAAAATTAAAAAAAAATATAAGTAACAAAAAAATA